GGTGTCGGAACGTGACACCCGATCCATTAATACTATCCTGGTGTCGGAACGTGACACCCGATCCATTAATACTATTCTGGTGTCGGAACGTGACACCCGATCCATTAATACTATCGTGGTGTCGGAACGTGATACCCGATCCATTAATACTATCCTGGTGTCGGAACGTGACACCCGATCCATTAATACTATCCTGTGTCGGAACGTGACACCCGATCCACTAACCTCATTCTTTTAGTTCATCAAGCCTTCTTCTATACCAAGGCATCATCATTAACAAAGAGGTTTTAAGATTTAAGATTCAACAGCCTCATCATGCTTATTTTATCACAATCATATATAATCACATCATACAAGCATACAATTAAGCATATAGAAGACTTTACAATACTACCCAATACATATCATTCGCTATTAAGAGTTTACTATGAAATAGCATAAAACCATAACCTATCTCCACCGAAGAATTGCGATCAAGCAATCTACTGTCCCAAAGCTGCGTTCTTCCTCTCTCTCAATCGATCGTTTCTCCCTCTCTCTCTGTTCTTTTTCTTTTTCTTATTCAAACCCTCTTTCTTTTAACCTAATTAGCATATAATTAAGTATAAAAGATGATAAAATACCCCATTACTTGTTTCAAGGTTCTCTCTTTTAACCCCCAAGTAATTAAATTATTAACATTAAACCACTAACTTTATAATTATAAGCAGGAATAGTCGAAAACGCTCCTTAAAATATTTAACAGAAATCCGACCCAGTCAGGGTCACGCAGCCTGTGACGGTCCGTCCTGCACGTCCGTCACAAAGTTCAGAGAGTTAATTCTGCGGAAGGATTTGTGACGGTCCGTCGAGCCCTCAACGGTCCGTCCTGCCATTTCGTCGTGAAGTTCAGAGAGTCGATCTCAGTACCCAAATTTCTAAATTCTAAGTGTTTTGGAACGAGACACCCTCGACGGTCCATCGTGTCCATGACGGTCCGTCGTGGGATCCGTCGACCCAGACAGTGATTTTCAGAATTTAACTCTGCTGCTCCAAACGACTAAACAGATCGTTACAACGATCAATATATCAATATTGATTAACCTATCAATAATATATCAATACAATTCTTGATTTCTCTATGAGAGATTTCTACGTGAATTTCTACACTTCAGACTCAATTGATGTCACCAAAATATGAACGACGAAGACCAAGAAGAAGGTTTTAATTAATTGGAGTAGAGTATAGAAGATTTGGTTAAAAATTAATCTTGAAACTCTTAAGATAATCATAAAAAGTTCAACCTTAATTACAATTTCTTAATCTATTCAAAATCATAGTCATGACACATACATTGTACATGCAAATTTGTCCTTTTGTTTCTTTGATATTATTATTTTATTTTCTATTTTATCTTATTCATGTAGGATAATATGTTTATAACACTAATTACATTAGCATCTCCACTTGCTCCCCTTAATCTTAATTATGTACTTAAAACTTATTTTAAGCATCTTATATTATATTATATTATAATAATATAGAAAGGAAGAGTGTATATAAATGGATTCTCATAGGGACAGTGTGTTACTGGACTATTTTTTTTTCTTTTCCCTTTTGTCATTTAGTCCAAAATTATAATAATATAAATGGTCATACACTATATATGATAATTCAATTATATTATTAGACTTAAAAATAACTCAAATGTATTGAAAAAATCCAGTTGACTTTATTAAAATTTATACAGCAGTTGACTCATGCTGTATTTAGTTAATTAGACGGTGTTTGGTAGCTGATTTGTAGATAAGTTATACAAGTGATAAATTATACTATATTTTATAATTGGTTAGACACTGCATATTTGTACATGTAAGAAGTTAATAGGTGTTTGATATGCACGGGGAGTATGCGCAAATTGGACACTATTTGTCGAGAAAAAAAAATTATTTATACAGGTAAAATAATATATTAAATCACTAAATAACATATTTGGATACTATTGACATAACAAGTTATTGTAGCTTAGTAATTTCAAATGCCTTGAATTGATTTTGGACACTCTAAATAAGTCAGATAATTTATATATTATTTTATGCATGATAAAAGATACAATAACTCAAACACTATATCAAATTATACATAAATTTTCTAATATAGTTAATTCAAATATTACTAATACATTTATAATTCTAATCAGCTACGAAACTAACTTGTTAGAATCTTGAACAATATCCACAACAATTAAATGAGGTATAATTTTAAGAAGCTGTATTTTTAGGTTTATAATATAGTGTTCTAATTAATCTGTCGTTTTCATTCAAGAAAATGACATGTGAAAGTAGCTTAGATGGACCAACAGAAACAGCAGCACATAGCTATCAAAAAAATATTATAGAAAACTATACACTTAATTAAATGGATAATTACATTTGACACCGTTGACCTAATAGGTTATTGTAGCCCGGTGATTTTAGATGTCTTGAATGAGTTTTACACGTCTTGCATAAGTCAATGCGTAATTTTTGGACACCCTTCATAAAATTCTTGGCTCCGTTACTGAATGTAGTATAGATGCGTGCAAGCTGGTTTAAAATGGGAGCAGCTTCTTGAGAAAAGATTATCTTGGACCTGCCCATTAATGGATCCAGATGTGAGGAAAGCCCAAGACAATAATGGGAATTTCAAGCTTAAAACAGACCAAGAAATACAAAAAAGCCCAATATAAGTTAACTTTGATTTAGAATGTAGTACATCCTAATTATAGGCTTAGATTTCACTTTTTATTTCAATGCTACAATAACATCCTAATTTTACTAAACGTTGAGCTGAGGATCAATCAGAAATAACCTCTCTTACTTTATTCAAGGTAGGAGTACAGTTGCGTACACACCACTCTTCCAAAATTTCACTTGTGGAATTCCCCTTGAATATGTTGTTGCTATAGATAAAATAAGTCCGGTGCCACATTACAAAACAACAACATGCAGTGTAATCTCAAGTAGGGTCAGAAAAGTTGTTTCTAAAAAACTATTGACTCAAGTGCAGCAAATCAAGATAGTTATGGAAAAATACGTAGGTGGAGAAAACATGTCAATCAATACAGAAAGCAGTACATGTCATCTAGAAAAAGAACAATAACAACAACGAAATAATGCAGTGACTGAAATACAAAAGATGGCGTAATAGATATCAAAAGCAAGAAACGACATGTATAAAGCGAATTACGAAACAGTAATCTGTTACCTTTCATAACTGCACGGTATATCACACTTCACGAACTTAGAAGTTACATTCTCCACCATGTATACCATTTCTTCTCCCAAAAATGACGTCTATAAAGAACCCGATTTTCCCAAAACTAGTAAACTTGACCAAGTCAGAGCAGACGTCGAACAGAATATTCATAACTTAAACAGTATGACAAGACAGTGTGGCTTCTCAAGGGATATGTCCAATGATGGTGGATGAGCTTTCAACTGTAGTGATACTGATGAAACATTTTAAAGAGATTTAGATCGAAGAAATGGAGATATCTTCAATAAACTAAGAACTTCTAATCCAGTAAAAATAATGGACTCTCTTGACCAGATGATTTTGATGCTTTCATCAAGCTTCCCAAGGCTCCATATATCTCGTTTGACTTGGAATGCCTCTCGTCGAAGCAATAGAACTCAGCCACTTCATCAGCAACCTCAATCAAGCTGCATCCTGGAACCTTACGGGATCCAGTGTCCCTCATCGCCACTTTTAACTCTGCCACGTCTTTCCACTTCCGAGCATCACCACAGATATTTGCTAACATAACGTAATTTGCAGGGTTTTTTGGGTCAAGCTCAATAAGTTTCTGGAGAACTAGTCTTGCAAAGTCAATGTTTTTGTATACTCTACATGCGCCAAGTAATGCCGTCCAAATAACAGCATCAGCTTGTACAGGCATCTTCTCCACAAATTTCACAGCCTGCTCCAAAAGACCAGCTCTACCCAATAGATCAACCATGCAACCATAATGCTCAATTTTAGGCGTAATGGAATAATCATTCGCCATTGTGTTAAAATGGGCGAACCCATCTGCAACTAAACCCATGTGAGAACATGCACATAACACTCCAATAAAAGTAATTCCATCTGGTTCTACTCCAGAATTCTTCATCTCAGCAAACAAACTCAAGGCATCACTACCCCGACCATGCACCGCTAAGCCATTAATAATGGTGTTCCAAGAAATCAAATCTCTTTTATCCATACTCCTAAAGACATCCACAGCATTACCAACCAGCCCACATTTTGCGTACATATCGATCAACCCATTGGCAACATATACATTGTGCTTATACCCATTACTCTCGGCATATACATGCACCCACTTACCCAAATCAAGAGCACCTAATCTCGTGCAAGCGGACAAAACATTCACAAGGGTGGCATCGTTAGGCTTCACATCAGACTCATTTAACATCCTCTTAAAAGCACTAATAACCTCGGTGAAACGCCCGTTGTGAGCATACCCTCCAATCAGACCATTCCATGAAAAAATATTTCTCTCTTTCATCTCTTCAAAAAGATTCTCACACCCCTCAACATCCCCATTATTGGCATATCCATTCAACAAAGTATTCCATGACATTAAATCTTTGTTTGGCATCACATCAAAAAGCTTTCGAGCCTCTTCCATATCTCGACATTCAATATACCCTGTAATCATCCTATTCCATAACACAACATCTCGCTCAGGCGCCAAGTCAAAAAGCATTCTTGCAGATACCAAATCACCATTTGCAATATATCCATTGATCATAGAAGTCCACGTAAAAACATTCCGTAAAACCATCTCATTAAACACCCTATAAGCGCATTTCACTCGCCCAACACTCGAATACATGTCAATCAAAGTGCTACCCACAAAAGTATTGGTCAAAAACCCAACCTTTACCACCACACCATGCACTTCTTCACCTTCAACTAAAGCCAATAACTTTCCACAAGACTTCAAAACCATAGGAAATGAAAAACAATTCAAACTAACATCTTCATTCATCATACGACGAAACGACACAACTACATCCCTGTACATATCATTCTGAATATACCCTTTAAACATTATGTTCCAAGGAGAAGCATCTTGCAAGTCAGGAATTTGATCAAACACTTGGTGTGCATAAGAAATTTTCTTGAATTCCATACATTTTGACAAAAGGGGAGGGATAATGTACTTAGTATAACCAACACACTGAATAGTAATCTGGGTTTGAATTTCTTTCAATTGATTTGTAGTTTTACATGATTGTAACAAAGATATGAACTTCTCTTCAAGAATTCTATGATGAGTTTTAATTAAGCCTACGTTTACAGCAATTTTTGCTATTCTGGAGATTAAAAAAAACTCTAATTGGTGACTCAGAGTTTCAATTTTTATGGCTTTTATCCAAAATTTATAATTTCAAGAATGGTGAAATTTCAAAGTTCTTATAAGCATAGAGCTCAAACTAAGGTTATGAATTATGAGCGGGTTGAAATAATTATTTAAAAATTAACATATTTAAACAAAATAAAAAATAGAAAATATTTACGACTTCAATTTTTATGTAATGATATAATCTTCTGGATATTGTGTTCATCAAAATAATATACTAATACGATACATTATTAATCAATATATAACAATCATTCGAACATAATGTTACTTGTTTAACGCATGGTGAACTTATTACGTGTTAATGATCTCTTTTTTTTTTTGGTAAATCGCAGCTCAAATTCAATATAACAATAATCAACTTCTCAACTATATTAACAAGACTAGAGTTCAATTACAATTCCACAACGTAAATGCAATAAAGCAAACAACAAAAAAATCCAAGAAGAATCGTAGAAATACTAAACATAAGAACTAGAGAATGGGTAGACGGTAGAAGGAAGATGAGAAGCTTAGACTCAAGAATTAGGGATGAGAACATAAAAATGTCTTTGCATATAATTCATTTGATGCTTCAAACAGTGATGTCCTAATTTATTTAACTATAACAAACGCACCCTCAATCTGGGATCCAGATTATCCTTTGTGAAACGTGACCTTATTGCTTTTGTTGGGCTTACTTGGTCCAATATCTATTTGTGTATATCCTTATTGATATCTTTATCGGGGTGGGGCTAATTCATAACATTATAGAAAATTAATATTTACACGTAAAGGACACTTCAAAAAATCATAACCTAAGTATTAATCATTTCGGACCTCAAAACAGAAAAATAAACAAGCAACTAATTATAAATTTTCTGAATTAAACTACTACACTATTGAACTTTCCTAAAAGCCTTTAACTTTGTTAGTTTCACTTTAGATCTCCATTTTTGTTCTTTCTATTGTTAGGGAGATATTGTTTCGTACTTATTTTTTCTATTGAGTTGGACTGGACGGTGGTGTGGACGGTGGTAAACCCAATGTATAGTAAATTATGCGGGACGGATCGAAAATAAAAAAATCATGTTATATAAAGTGGACGGAGGAAAGTCATTGTGAATTAACGTGGTTTTACCTGTTTAACATTATTATATAAGAAAAATATATTAAAATTCGACTAAATATGAATTCATATTAAAAAATCTCATATTAAAAAATAATAAAACATTTTCTACTAAAATGACTTTACATTGGGAAAGACTCAAACTCGAGATCATTAAAATCGATTTTGATAGTTAACCGTACATTCAACCAATTGAGAAAATGGTCCAATTAAGTCATTTAAAAGAACGTGAATTGACTATTAACTTGTCGGGTTTAGTGTCACTTTTTTAATTCTTTAAAATCTACATTTCCAGTTCCACTGATCGATCAATAATTTTTAAAAAATGGACCTTGCATTAAATTCCACTTTCCGACCATCTATACCATCGGAATCTTCACTTTTCCACCGGAAAATAAATCGACCCATTATTCACCGGCATATATGGAAGTGGAAACCACAAATTTCTACTTCAGAGACTAAAGGTAGAACGATTACTATGGCCCTAAAAAAGGCAAAAATTGATGGGGTAAGTGAAGCTTTAAATGAAATTGCTTCACAAAATTTGGATCATGCTCCTGCTAGAAGAAGGGTTCGATCAGCTTTTGCTAATGTTCAACAGCAGCTTGATCATATCTTGTTTAAGGTTTGGGGTTTGTTCTAATCTTGTTGAAATTAGTAATAGAAAAAAAATTAGATTTTTAATGGTGATTTTTGCTTCCTAATTTGATTTGTTTTGGTTGTTCATGCAGATGGCTCCAGGTGATATCAGATTAGAGGAGGTATTAAGCTTAATTAAATTTTGTTTATATTATGCTATTGTGCTCTTGTTTTGGTATTAGGGATCTATGTATGAGTACTTTTGTTAGTAGAAATGTCCAGGGATCTTCTTTTGGTAGTCCGGGCTAGCTAGTGCATATCTCGACTAATAACTCTGACCACCAAGGCTTCGATAGATGTAAAGAATTAAGAGATCATGTAGTGTTTTGGCAGATCTTGATCTTAGCTATGTGGTTCTTTTTTGCTCTGTTGTGCAATGTAGTTGAAGTTGATTACTTATTTATCAACTTAATCGTGTTTTATTTATTTTCGATGGATTTGAATGAGAGTGAACTCAAAGTTAGGAAAGTGAAAATGGGGTGCAGGTCAGTTATGATAAACTGAAGGATTAAGAAGTTAGGAAGTGTTTTCTCAGAAGTTTAAACTTTGTTGATTATGAAACAGCCGCTACTATAACCCCGATTACTCTTAAGTTCTGTTTCCATGTATACTACTCTTATTTGCTAAAACATTTATGTTCAAATGTTAGGATGATGGATCTATGTATGTAGCATTGAGTTGTAAACTGTTAATTGTTTTTGCTAGTTAGATTTGTTTGTTTGATGGAAGTTTATCGTCTCTTTTTGTTGTTGTTACTTGTTAATTTTTCTATCATGCTATTTATGAAAAGGATTTATATATCATCAAATGAGTAATTGCATATGTACATTTTGTAGTGGTATGAAACAAATTCGAAAGGCCAACAGATTTTTTGCAAAAGTTGGCTGCCAAAGCCTGGCATACGAATTAAAGGTGCTTTGTGCTTCAGTCATGGATATGGTGATACTTGCACGTTCTTCTTTGAAGGTTTGTTATTATCTCTTTAACTACAGAGCCAATAGTAGTATGTCTATCCTTCGAATCAATTACTGTTTTTTTTATAAGTACTATTTATTAGCCGTTTATATTCTTTTGTATTCTATAATAATTTTCAGGTATTGCGAAGCATATAGCGGCTGCTGGCTATGCTGTCTATGCTATTGACCATCCCGGTTTTGGTCTCTCTGATGGTTTGCATGGATATATTCCTGAGTTTGATGGTATAGTTGACAATGTCAATGAACAGTATGTGAAGATTAAAGGTAAGTTGCAGTGAGTTTTTGCCTGCTTTGTCATTATTTCCTGAGTAATACGTCAACAACAACAACCTATCCAGTTTAATCATAATCAGACAATGTGAAAAGCAAAATCCATTAAGCCCGAATCGAAGTTCATTCATGGGCCACTACTCTTCCAACTTTTGTTAGAGCACGTTTCTCCCTGTGTGACAATTTGAATAATAATTTCTCTTGTGATGGACCAGGTAGGCCAGAAGTTAGAGGGCTTCCCCACTTTATTTTTGGGCAGTCGATGGGAGGTGCAATTGCTCTGAAAGCTCTTCTTAAGGAACCACATGAATGGGATGGAATTGTCCTTGTCGCGCCAATGTGCAAAGTAATATTATCTTAGCTAGACTAGCAACTTCTTATATTATTTTAGTTTCTAGTTTCTCACTTTCTTGAGCACGTTTATTTTGAGCTGAACTGATGCATTTATCGTTTTCTTTAATTTCAAAAAGTTCAGAATCCCTAATTTCTCTACGTCAAACTAAAATATGTAGATCATCTCAACGAGTTCAGTATATTTACACCTGAATATATTCAACTGTTCAAAGAGTGCAGAATTTTCAGTTTTGTTTGTTGAACATCCTTCGTATACCTAATACCTTATATTACGTTTCGCTTTTGGTCTTCCATCTGAATCTTAGGCACTTAAGTTTTCTGACTCAAGTGTTGAAACCTTAAGCTATGAGCTAATAAAAAAGAATAGACAGAAAAAAGTTTGGTTCGTTTTCTGTCACCAGAAAAAGATGTCCATTTTCAATGCAAAAGCTCGGGTCGGTTCATCATCATTTAATGATACTAAAACACTTGTTTTCTTTATAAAAGGCACTCATTTTGATTCATTTCTCTGTTCTGTTAGCAAATTTTAGCTTTCTGAGGAAAGATACTTGTTTTTGTTCCAAATATGCAAATTCTCCATGCAAATACCAACTGTTCTTTTTTGTTTTTCTGTTTCCTTCTTTAAAGATTTCTCATAATTTATCATGATGAGGTGTTACTATCCAGAAATATTTGCTTATTGCAACAGCTTCTTAGACATATTGCACTGAGAAATGCTTCTCATTTCAGGAACCATTTGTATAAAAATGAAACTAATTGTCTGTAAGAACAAGCAATACTTTTATTGCCAGTAGTCAATTCGTACTAATTAAGAACGAAGTTGAATTATCAATTTGGATGATTTCATTGTAGAAAGAAATTATGTTTTTCTCTTAGCATTGCCACCAAATTTTCTGCTTGTTGAAATTTTTATCATGTTTGTGGAATTTGAACTTTCTTAATGCAAGAATTTCGCTAACTCTTTGGTGCTTTGCTAAGATTGCAGAAGACATGACGCCACCAGTTCCACTGCAGAAAGTCTTGATTTTTTTGTCTAACATTATGCCACAAGCAAAGATAGTCCCTACGAAAGATTTGGCGGAGTTGGCAATCAGGGAATTCAAGAAAAGGAAAATGGTAATGCATCTATTTACTCTCTTGATATTAAGTGAGGAAGAATAATAACCAAATGATGTCCGCTTTATATTTTTAAAATACTTATTTGCCCCGTCCATGGTAAACCCTCCGTTGTCCCCTTTCAAGCCCCGTCTCATCCCCTTATTGAGATATTTGATATAGTATGCATTTATGGACTCCTTTACTCTGTATAAACCTGTTCACTGTTTTTCCATCGAGAGTCCTTATAGCATTTTGTTCTGGAATACCCTTACGACCCTCAGCATGATGCGCTAATCCATGCCATGTAACTTAGGAGTTCAAGGTTTCGATTTATGAAATGGTCTCTTGCAGAAATGCAGGGTAAAACTGCATATAAAAGACCCTAGTGGACTCCAAACCTTCTCTGGACCCCATGCATAGCGGGAGCTTAGTGCACCGAGCTACCCGTATATGCACATTGATTTTCAATGTATGCTTAGTACAGCTCTGTATTGATGTATTACTGATGCTAGTTCTTGTCTCATTCTTTTTAGGCTCCATACAATGTAATCTCTTACTCCGATAAAACACGTGTGAAAACTGCCGTGGAACTCTTAAATGCTACAAAATACATTGAACAACATGTGGATAAGGTCAGTACGTATCCAAGTTTATCAACGAAACACCATCATGTTTTCCAGCTTTGTCTGAAGGAATTAACAGTCTGTATGTACAACACTTGCAGGTGGCATCCCCAATGCTCATTCTTCATGGAGCAGACGATAGAGTGACAGATCCTCGCGTGAGTCAGTACCTGTATGACAAGTCTTCCAGCAGTGACAAAACTCTTAAGCT